CTCAAAATTCAGAGGTGACAGGAAGTAATTGTTGGAGCATGCAGTAAAATACTACAAGCTGATGTTCTAGTAAGTATACAGCTTCATTTATGTTTAAATGTTCGTTATAGTAGACATGAGAACACGAATGTCAAAATTATCTGTTTGATGAGGGCTAAAGTAAACCTACGCTAATTTTAACCTTCATCTTTCCGCATCCATGCACACGTTGACATAATTTAAGTCATTTTTGCGTGACACAGAGCAGTGATTTTTTACCTCTTGGTTTATATCTGTCTTTGTACGAAATCTCTTTATAGGAGCAGCGTCACCGATACAGAGAAGTGCACTGCTGCTCTATTTTTCACAGCGCTAACATTTATGGATCTTGAAACAGTTGATGAAGCGCGAGATTAGTTTGAAAAAGTACTTGATTTGAGACCAAGACTGAAAAATCTGATGCAAAGGTTTGCTTAAGTTTTTGCGAGAATTGTTTGCTGCATATGTGATTTAGATGCTGTTTGAGGTCAAAAGTCTCCAAAAATTCCTCCCCCCACTAATTTCTTTGAAAGAATTCGGCCAAGTGAACTCTCAGATACCGGAAGGGTGTCCTTCGCTCACTGTAGGATTCTTGTTCATTTTTAGATTTTGCAGATTTGCAGAATCAGTTTCATGCGTCAAGGCGGCTTGAAGTCGAACCATGGGTCAGTTTCTCATACGAAGAGGTGATCGGGCAGAAGCATCCGTGTATTTCTCGCGGGCAGATACGCTTCGAGATGAAGCTGATGTTGAGGGAAGTGAAGAAGAAGAAAATGAGAAAACCACGGACGAGCTGGATGCGAGACCGAACAAAGCATAATGAGAATCTTTGGGTATGCATATATATATGCATATTTCACCTAATAGAATTTGTAAAACTCATCTTCTCTATACAGTGTACTAGCTGGCTAACTCGGCTCCGCCCGCACTGTTAAAACACTATGATAAAGCTCTCATCCCCATCCCAGTACAACCTTTCCCAGTGCCACGCCTACATGAAAATTCACTATTCCCGCTGATTTAGTAATCAGCATGCTCGATTACCCCCCTGTGTGCCAACTCCCCGCCCCGTAGCTCAAACTTTGCAAAAAAATCAGTAAAATCGATAAAAGTAATAGACGATTTCAGAAACTAAAATTGTATTCGTAATCAGCATGCTCGATTACCCACTCTATGCCAACTCTCAGCCCTATAGATCAATCGTTACACAAAATCGATAAAATCGATATCGGTCGGTGACGAAAAGAGTCGATGACACCCGCCCGGCCCCGAAGTGTATGTGTGCCAAGTTTGGTCCGGATCGGTTCAGAAATGGAATTTTCTATTCGGAACATATGTACAGACAGACAGACAGACAGTCAGACATACTGACAAACAGACATTCAGCTTTATATACAAGATTAAGTATGTATATGCTGGTTTAAAATAAATGTCTCGTCTTCTCTTCATTTTTCTATCTTGCTATCTACAAACGCTGGGTGAGAGGGATGGGGTAGAGAACGGGGTGAGGGGTCGTGCTGAATTCCTGCCCGGAGGGGGGGGGGTCGTTTCCGGGAGGGATGGTCGGGAGGTACGATCGGCGCGAATTTTTCGCGAAGCGACGTCGCAATGTGCTCCAGCCCTTACACCAGCGGTTCTCGGGCAGTTCTACTTATTAAAGGCAGCGTACACCCAAAATCTAAGTTACCGAATTTCCTAGATCTTTCTATACCTCGTATATACTGGGCCCAGAAGAAGACCAACTGCGTTGGTCCGGTCTCCCAATGTTGCTTCTGAGCGGAGAAAACCGTCCTCAATTTTCTTTCACTCCGCCTCCTCCGGATGAATCCATGACAGCGTAAGCTTCAGTTGCCGTTGCAGTTGCTGTTGCAATGCTGTTGCATCTGCAACTGCAGTTGCAACAGTGCAGTTGCTTTTTGCGGTGCGCCTTATACTTTGGACCGAATCGAATGATTATTCGATTATTCGAATAAATCATTCGAATGCGAATGATTCGAAAATTCGAATATTCGAAAATCTGAGATTTCGAATAATATTCGAAAGTCGAATATTCGAAATTCTCAACTTTCGAATATTATTCGATAGTCGAATATTCGATGGTCACTAATTCGAACATTCGATGTCCATGGAATATCCGAATATTCGACGAGCACCGAATATTCGAGAATTCGATAAGAATTGACTAGTCGAAAATTCGAAGCATCGAATATTCGGAAATTCGATATCCACAACATATACGGGGTGTCCCGGTATGTACAAACTGTTTGATCGCTGATATCTCTCACGAAGTCTTTTGCCAACCTTTGAGTAACATCCTGTAGGGGATGGCTTCAGCTTACAAGTACAGCAAAAAACAAATCACCTATGTTTTTCTTGTTGTGTTATCACAGTATGAACTTAGCATATAGAGCAACTGCGAAATGAGACATCCAAAAGAGCTTCCCCAACAAAAAAGAGATTTTAAATCTATGTAGCAGGATTTTACGTATGTTTAACTACGCACGACCTTTCAAGCCTTTTAAATGTGCATTCTCTTGTTTGAAAAGCGTTGGAAAACAACTGTTATGGTGTACCTGGCATAAGTTGCAAAAGGCGTTACGGTTGAGTGCAAATTCTTTATATAGTGAGTGTCTTTAGTAGCCTAGTGTAAGATCGGGCTTTCTGTTTCTCATTCTTGGGGAAACGGCTCTTGATATCTCAAAACCCTCCTCAGTTTTCTTACGGTAATTTACAACAGTGAAAAGCGATCGATACATCGCTTCATACTGTAAGGTTGATGTCAGCCCACAGATTCACACACTGTTGGAACCCCTGTATGTCAGTCCACAACTCTCAATGTGGATAAATAATCTTCTTTGATTTTTGAAATTCCTTCACAACCGTCACGTACGTTTTGAGGTACTTGAAGGCAGCGTCCCAAAAGATGGGTCCGGGGATTTGTGGCCATGTTAAACTGGACCCCCTACCTAAGCGGTGACGAAGTTCGGAGCGAAAAAGAAGGTCTGGTAAGCTTGAAAATTGCTCCCAAATTGGCCAGTCTTACGGCAGGCCCGAATGTAGGTGGGGGGGGGGGACTACTTTAACATCGCCACAATCCGGCACCCATCATCTTGCCGGGGGCTGCAACTGAAGTTTTTTTCGTTGTAAATTGAAACATAAAAAAATGTCTATACCTGAAAAAATTTATTCTGAGATGTTTTGGTCTCTCATAGGTAGTCTCACTGACATAATTTATTCGCATAGTATTCGAAAATCGAATGGTATTCGAAAACCGAATATTATTCGAGAACCGAATAGTATTCGAAATCCGAATATCGAATGGTATTCGATATTCGAATATTATTCGATTCGAAAACTTCCATTTTCGAATAATATTCGATAGTCGAATATTCGAAAATTTCGATTTTCGAATAAAATTCGTTAGTCGAATATTCGAAGTTTTCAATTTTCGAATAATATTCGATAGTCGAATATTCGAAAATTTCGATTTTCGAATATTATTCGATATTCGAATATTCGAAAAAAATTTCGAATTTCCCAAAGTATAGTGCGCGCCTCCTTCGGGCGATGAACCACGACAGCATATGCAGCAGTTGCAGTAACTGCAGGCTGTCATGCTGTTGCAGCTGCTGGCATGCCGACGGGGACGAGCAGTTCGAAACTCGTCCGCCCCTGAAGAGAGGGTCCCTGGAAATCGGGGTTTTTTGGGACCTTTGGAGGATTTCAGTGACATAACTGTAATCAGCGGCACGGAAAGGCCCCAGAATGACAAAAACATCGAAGGTGAAATTTTGGGTGTACGCTGCCTTTAAGTCATGTACCTGCCCCCACCCTCACCCGGTGTTTACATACAAATATACAACGTTTAAGTTGAACAAGAAATCTAGTGAAAAACCATGTTTGAAAAATTTTTCCTTTTCTCCTTCAGCAGGTCTTTTCACGTTGTTTATTTCTGCATCCGATAGATCTCGTTTTGACTTTGATATATACAACGTCGGAGTTCGATTGTGGCGAAGTACGCAGAAAAAAGCTTCAAGTGTGGTTTCTTTAGAGTAATTTTTGGGTGTCGCAACCATTTCATTTGTGCTTAGAAGTTTTTTGCTCGAAATGATGAGCAGAATAAGGCAGACAACGTCGCCGGAAACAGAAACGACAAAAACATCATTTTTTTTACTTTACTTATTTATTTTAGGCTATGACCCAAATTTTGACTTTAAAAACTTTCGTTGCATTGCTTTTCTTCCATGTTTATCTTCTTCTTGGCAATCACCACTTCCAAACTGTGATTACATTCAAGACAACTGCATGATAAGTAATTAACTTTCCTTCACCTTCCCCGGTTTGTGAAGCGGCGGCTCTGAAGCGAAAACTCTTGAAATACCTTCAGAGGGGAGACTTTGAATATGTCGCAGCATACTCTGTGTTCAACATTTCTTTTGCTACTGTTAAAGTCTCTCTTTCCCTGCTGTAACTACAGCTTTTACTCTTGGGGTGGGGCAGAAAATCGAACAACCTTTTTGATGCTGTATCCTTGGGCTATTGACAGTGTTACTCGGATCTTTCAGAGACCTACCTTTGGCCAAAACATGAATCCCGGATATAGGCGATTCATCGCACGCAAAGATTGCGGACTAATCGGTGTCTCTCTCTCTCTCTCTCTCTCTCTCTCTCTCTCTCTCTCTCTCTCTCTCTCTCTGATCAAGCGCTCTTTCGTTTTTCTTACCATCTGCTGTCTCTCCAAAGCACGAGCTATTTCGATCGGACGCAACGGCGCCCAGTCTTTGCGCGTTATGAATTCCATATACCTACGTCGTTTGATTATTTGAGTGGATTATTAACTCCAGTTTCCAATGACCTCTATCTTGTACGCCTTTTTCGCTTCAAATCATGTTGTTTGACTGTAATAGATGATTGCTCTCCTATTGTTTTGTTGATCAATCTCGTTATCTCCCGTAAACTGCGTTTTTCTCGCTAATTCACCTATGACCTTCGATTTCAGATGTGTGTCGACGCGATGTTTGGTCAATGAACAGGTACGCTCTAGCCATCGCAACGTGGTGCAAAGTACGCCGATTTGCTGTCCCATTAGATTCCTCCTCCTGTCCTTGCAGTTGCAGCAGTCCGCAGATAATTGAATGCTGTAATCCACAGAGACTTTTCTACTCTACAATCTAGTCTAGTGCATTTATCGGTGACGTCCCATCGACAGGCGTAAAGAGTGCGCAAATCTAGGAGGCCATTGTCATCCCGCCTCTCGAACTAGAACTTCTAATCAGAAAATCTAACCCACAATGCGAGCGTCTTTGTTCCGTAACGTCATCAGGTATCTAACAGCTGATAACGCTGTTTCCGTACGTCGTTGTTCTTCCTACAAAGCAGCAAATCCTTCTCCACAAGAAGCTTCCGAACCGATGGAGAGTTACGAAGAACGAGCGAAGAGTTTCTTCGTTTTCGAGCAAGTCGAACCGGATGTCTTCAGGTTTGTGGGCAAAATTGCTTTCTGATTTTTTATTTTTTCATTGTTGCTTTGATTCATTTTCGTATGGCTGCGATTATCTTTTTTGTACTAGTCTTGGAGCCCGTTTGTCTAATCGCTCTTCTATAATTGCGCGCAAAGGAATGTTTTGAAGTTATGGAAAAATTTATCATCCTATGCATTAGTCGACTTTTTTGTGGAAGAGCATTTAGTTTCGCGAAGAAATCTATAGCATTTGGAAAAATGCGCAGTAGAACTGTAATAATATATCTAGAAGAGATTGTCGAAATTGTTGTGCAAAAATTTTCATCATGTGATAATTAAACCAACTTTTTTTTTCACGGTAGTAACATAAGTAAATTTTTGTATAGAAGTGTTATTAAAGGCGGCTTGACGCTGTAAACTGGCATATAAGCTTCTTTTACAATCCTTTTCATTTTCGATGCCTGTTTTTTATTTGGCTTTGTTTGGTCTCACTAACCGTTCAGTGACATTTTTCAGAACAACGAATTTGAGCACCCTGCGACAAGGTTCGGCCAAAGCTGCATATGGTGGCCTTATTTTTGCACAGGCTTTGGCTGCTGCCGAAAATACCGTTGATGAAAAGTTCAAACCTCATGCGATGCATTCCTTTTTCATACTAAATGGTGAGAATTGGATAATTTATTTTTACTTCATACTCATGATGTGCGCCAGTAGAAGAATAAGAATCTTCGTAAACGGTGTTGTATACTCCAAAAGTTTCCGCAAAGATTTTCTGATGTATCCTTGTAAAAGAATAATCAAATAATAAACCTTCATCTAATTCATAACAAATCTATGTTTATAGTCGATACCGCCATACCAGTTCAATACCAAGTGCGCCGTGTTCGAGATGGTCGTTCTTTTTGTACGCGTACGGTAGAGGCTGTACAGGAAGGAAAAGTCGCTTTCATCCTACAAGTATCCTTCCACTTGGTGAGATTCTGTTATCTTAAGACCCTGTATATTTTTCATCCTCAATTTGTTCTTTAGCTTGAAGGCGATTCTGCAGTGCATCAGGACACTATGCCCGACGTGCCATCATGGAAGGAGTTGAAATGCTTGTCAGATGTTATTCCTTATTTGAAAAATGAGATAGCCAAAGGTTGGTTTTGCTCTCTTATTCTCTTACTATTTATTATTTTTGGTTTGATTGTTGATTTAGGAAGACTGAACGTCACCCCTGCTGTGGAGAAACGGATAAAATTTTATGAAAGTCGGGAGGAAGCAAAGGAATCCGATCTATTTGAGGTCAGTCATTTCACATTTTCTTACTAGTTCTGTGCTTGTTTTTCATATGATCTCGTTCTTCATTTCCTGTTTATGAGTCTCTCCTTTTAGACAAGGCCAGCTGACGTTGGAAGTTACGTTGGCCTAGGTGATGAAGGTCAATCTAGAACTTTTTATTCCTGGTTCAAATCACTTGGGGACCTTGGTGACTGCGAAAAGTTGCACAGGTGTGTCATCTTAAAAGCTTGATTTCAATGTTGTTTTCCGCTATTAGATAATAGATAATATTCAAGGTATCTTGTTGCGTTCAATACAGATGGAACCATGGCTGGAACAGCTTTTCGCCCACATTTTTGGTAGGGTTTTTATCTCGGGAATATAGCACCCGCTATCACCTTTTGTCATTCATTTCAGCAATAATTTCTATCCCAGTATGATTTTTTCGTTAGATCATAATGTCTGGATGCATCAACATAAAATGCGAGCTGACCAATGGATGCTTTTTGAGAACACATCAACAGTTGCAGGTGCATACTAATTATCATTTTTTGTTATCACTTTTCAAATTTTCTTGTTCAGGAAGAGGGAGAGGTTTCATCACGGGTAAACTTTGGAGTGAAGACGGCACTCTTATCCTAAGTTGTACGCAAGAAATAGTTTTACGAACTAGAGGATCTATTTCTAGGCTCTAGGTTGTCTGTGTATGTATTTGTACATAAATGTCAGGATAGTATAAATATGCTCTGTTATATCCTTCCTTTGCACAATTCATCTGTTTGCAATGAGTTTCCGGATGTGGAACGGATTGTTCCTTTTGAAAGCAGTTCTCTCAGCTTTTTCACATCAAATGTTCGGTCTTACTACTGTCCATTTTTCCACGGTAAAATAGCTGATGCTCAGAACTGATTTACTTATGGTAGAATAACAAAACATTCTCAGAATGAACAGAAAGTTAATGCTTAGTATAAGGCTGCGTCACGGTACTGATTATTTGTCATGATATTGCATTGAAGAGAAGCTCATGTGATTACTGAGTTGTGAAAATCTAAACAATCTCAAAAAATAATTGTAGAAGTAAGCTCGGGGATAGTGTAAGCCAAGAGATCACGAGTCGTTGGTAATCTCTTTTCATCTTACGAATCGATAGTGATCACCTCTTTACCGCTGCCACCGATGAACAGCACTCGTTGCAAGCTTTCTGTCAACACATCCAGGTATACCTAGATTAGGCTGTTTATTTGAAGAATTCTTATCCAAATGTCGCACAGTTAGCAGCTTACCATATATGAATTTTGGAACATGCTACGATTCTTTGGTGGACGAGGCAACGTAAGAAGTACAAGCTGCGAATCTGGTGAATTTTCCTTGATGACATGGTTTAGGCGAACGGCTGTGTTCATCTTATGAACCTGAATTAGGGCTAAATTAGATTTTGTGTATTCGTAGAGTTTTTTCAATCAATGTTTCAGCTTGACCAACGTCATTATAGGGCACTCGAAAAGTCGTGACGATGGCGCGACCGCGCGCGACACGCACTTCCGGCAACCGCGTTTTTTATTCATTTCTACTCAAATGGTGTTACTGCTTACGCACGATAGTATAGGGCACTCGAAAAGTTGTGACGATGGCGCGACCGCGCGCGACACGCACTTCCGGCAATCGCGTTTTTTATTCATTTCTACTCAAATGGTGTTACTGCTTACGCACGATAGTATAGGGCACTCGAAAAGTTGTGACGATGGCGCGACCGCTCGCGACACGCACACGATTGCAGGAAATCGCGTTTTCTTGGTTTTCATCTCTAGTCGAGTGGTTTTTTTGCTTACAAATGATATTGTTTAGACCTGGAAGTAACTGAGTTGGACATTGAGGTGCTGCCTTCCTGTATAAGCGTTTTATGCTTCTGTGGGCGCAAAGTCCGCAGTAAAATCCGTCGTCACGATTTTATTAATGAACTATATATAGACATTAAAAGTGACTGAAATGTGAGTTGAGGTGTTGCATTTCTATATGAGTGCTTTCTGTTGCTGTGGGGCAAGGACCGCAGTCAAATCTGTCGTCACGATTTTATAAATGATCTATACTCGAACTCACATTTAATTTCACGTCGCCATTTTCGCTTTCATCGCTCGGTGTTGATGGCCGGTAGAGACCATCGGCAGGGTTGCTAAAAGCTAATTTTATGAATGTAGAATATTTATAGGTAACTCATCAACGGCGCAGACTAGCCGTCCACTGCGGAGCACGCGACGCGCGGTGATACGCGGTGGCGGCCGCCGCTGCAAACACGGCCAGTCCGTGCCATCGATGATTTACCTATAGCAGAGCCAGTCTTATTTTCAAGAGTGATAATTGGGCGGAGCATAAGTTTGCGAACATTTCATCAATACTCGGTTGTACTTTTGACGAAAAAATCATCAAATTGAGAGCATTTTTTTATCAGACGCCCAGAAATTCCTGTATAAGACTCACTCTATAAATGACGTTTCGGCGTCCTCATTGATATTGATTACTATAGGCGTAAAACTTCGTACAGAGTCATCTAAAAAAAGAAGACAAAACATCTGTAGGGTCATGTTGAGTGTCAGATACGAGGTGCATGCTTAAAGGCAGTGTCCGGGCAAAAACTCGATTTTGAGATTTTGTGCTTATACGGGCCTATTCGCCATGCTGATTCCGAAAATCCACATTGGAAAGCGCGAAAAAGGTGAAAAAGGGCTCTAACACAGGACGGAAGTCAGCAGGTGGGCGGGGCTTTCCCCAGTGCGATTTCAAGCTCCCAGCTCCCGGAGCGATTTTCTCGATTCCGTTAGCCGTCCTAACATCGCTACCGGTCAAGTGCGAATGATTGACTTGAAACCGGAAGCGAGAAGATCGCTCCGGAAGCCGGGAACGTGAATTCGCAGTGGGGAGGACCCCGCCCACCTGCCCATCTCCCTCCTGTGTTAGAGCCGTTTTTCGCCATTTTCGCGCTCTAAAATGTGCATTTTTGGATTCAGCGTAGCGAATAGGCCCAAGTAAGCACAAAATCTCAAAATCGAGTTTTTGCCCGGACACTGCCTTTAAGGCTAGGATAGAAAAATATGAGAAATACAAAATAAATACGTACTTAGCCGAAGTTTCCTGCTATTGATGGTATCATCATTATTGTATGCATCATTTGTAAAGCCACTTTCGTGTGATCTACTTCTTTGGAAGTTCTGCAAAGCAATTTGCAATTAGATTCAAGTTATTATTTCTTCTTTGAAATTTCATTTTCAAGTAGTACTTCTCAACCAGTGTTTCTGAACTGCGTCCAGACCTGCCCGTCTCCTGGCAGAACTCGAATCCGTCAACTCTGTGCTAGCGCCGCGCGGGAACCGCGGGAACCTACGACGACGCATTTCTTATTCATCGATCGATTTTTTCTGGCACTCCTCCGGCACAGCACTGGAGAAGCTGGAACGGTGCCTGCACGGGCAACTCTAGACGCAGCCCTACCATCATAACGCAATTTTTGTGTTAGTTGGTACTGTTCTCGCCGCTAGAAAAGAAAATCAAACATACTCTGAGCTCATGCCTGATGCTTTGCTGACGTTTCTCTAATTCTGCTGTCTTTGCAACAACTTCATCCGACACCTCCATATCCAACAAATTCACCATCTAATATTGTTGAATCGATTGTTTATTTCCAAGTTTCTGGGTGATAAAAATCGCACTTACAAAGACTTCGGCGTCGATTCTCAACATGTAGATGTATTTTTGTAAATCTTTACGAATATCCTCGTTTTTACCAGACTCGTTGTCGCCTATGGCGAAAATACGAAGTGTACATCCACGCCATACCTGACATAATAATTTCACATTTCTTCTCGCGTTGAGCTGTTTTCAAGTTATAAGGTCCCAAATCATAGAACTTTGGATTTTTGATTACATCTGAATTATTTTCAGTTTCTCACTTCCAGCCATCCGATTCCTATATGCATGTACAAGTGAAATTTTTCTTCAAATCCTCTGTAAATGTTGATTCAAATGCGGCTCTTTTTTGACTTATAGGTTTACTGGAAAAGTGAGAAGGTCTCAAAAACTCTTTTGAGGTAGTGGCTTATGCCATGCCCTTTAATCAAAATTTCTGTCGTTTCCCCCTCCCTCTTTCAAGAAATTTCTCTTACCGCCCTGGTTAGGTGGGTATTTTTTGATTCAAAATAGGGCCTCATGACTCTTGATAAAACTGTTGTGTTAATTTCACACTTGTACATACATACCTTGTGCTGCTTGAGAAGATAAGCGATGAGCATCAAGATGCCTCCGTCCATTACTACCCACCAAATGTCGATATACCTATAAGTGTATAGAATTATCGGAGTTTCTTTTTTTCAAAGTGCAGGATGATACAATCCGGAAGTGGAAGCCAGAGTAGTGCTTACCCTGTCAAACGATCATTGCTGTCAGGAAAATCGGTGATACCTTTTGCGACCAAAACGCAGTTTTCAGTGATCACACCGTAGATGAGCTTTTCTTGAAAAATATTGATTTTGCTCAAGAGACTGAGTTCGCTCAAGAAGTCTGAGTGATACCTGTGAAAAGCTCCAATTCTTCTGGATCACCAGTTTTTGGCCAGCTTAGAAGTATGGTATTGGGTCGTAAACCACCTATTCCGATTGATTGAAATAGTGCTGATACAGATCCGCTCATCTAGAAAATATTTTTTGTAAGATGTCGTTTGTATTAACGAAAATATTTCAATCAACCTGCTCTGGTGAATAAAAGATGGTTTTGCTGAATCCCCGTAATCTCGTTTTAGCCATGTCTTTTGTCAGACGGTCTTTGACCTAGAAACGACTTTTTGGATCTTAAAACTCTTAAAATTGAAGTGAATGAAGTTTCTTTATCACCTGCTTCGCATGTATTTTGTCCTTAGCACTATCAGCAGATCCTTTCAAAAAGGCACATGCTATTGCTAATCCTTGTCCAGCCTGGGAAAATTCTATGACGTAAGAAGGAAATTGGTAAAATGTTCCTTACTTTCAGTTGTGCTCCCAGATTTAGCATTGACATTGCTCGCAAATCTATTATTTCTTTGGACCATGTAGTTGATAAGCAAATCAGCAGTTGTGGTCGCCAGTTTTTTGGATGCGGATCTTTGTCCTCCACCTGAAGTGATCATTTAAAATTCGCAATTTTAATAGGGTCTAGACCCCAGTAAATTCTGATTTTTCGTAGATAAGAGAAAATTCTATTGTCACTTGCTGTAAGAATACATGCTAAAATTTTGTTTCTGTAATGAATATCGATAGTCCGAAAACTTCCAGAATTATTTTTTCACTCTCTTCAAGACTTCCAAGTTATTCTCGTTGCTTCGAGACTGTATTTTTCCGAAAACAAAAACAACTTGCTAAGCACCAACCTTTAGCAGAGAATATTGTGCTGTTGTTAGAGCTAGTCCACGCATTCCATCTCCCCATTCCTTTTTGGCTCTAAATTTTTTGAAAATCATTTCGTTTTTTCTTTATTCAATTTTTGGCGTCATCACAATTTGTGGAAAGCTATAAGTTGTAATAAGATTTGTAGCCTCAAAGATCGCTTCTCTTCAAAAACGGTGATTTCAAAATTAAGTCAAAGAATTTCAAATCTGCCATTTTGACCAGGGTACGTCGAAAGTCTCATAAAGGGAAACTGCTGGATCGTCATTCCCCCCTCCCCCTGCTCCCCTATGTTTGTTCAATATTTCTACACTTTACTGATAAAACTTTACCCTTTCCATTCCACATATTTATATATGGCAAAGGTCATTCCACACGCGATAAGAGCAAGATGCCAATCTGATGCAAACATAATGAAGAAGCATAGGAATGCACCAATAAGGGAGAGGACCCTAAATGAGTAGTATATCGGTATATTGATTCATATAAAAGAGATATTGGAAAACTTTTTCAATTTTCTGTGATGAGTAAGACTTCAATTCTTTTTCTAGAAGGGCATTTGTGCCATCATATCATTATTTTAGTTTTATTTGTATAAAACGCTTTGTAAAAAAAACTACACATATTCATTCTTACCAGTGGAAATACTTGAAACGAGGTCTCCAGTTGGGAGCGCGAAGTATGGAATGAAGAAAAGCGATGAGATTGACAAACGCATAGCACATTAGAAAGAAGAAGTCGAGAACCTGGAAAATGTGTACTCTCGATTTAGGCAAATAATCAAGATAATTTTTGGCTTTTTTTGAAATTGCAAAACTGCTTCGTAAAAAAAATTTCAAGAGCGTCTGCCGCATATCCTTTTTTATTCAACACGATCATATGCCCGTAGAAAAATTGAAAAGCCCCTGAAAATTCTTTTTGTAAGGCTTGGCTAATTCTACGTTCCTTCATCCAAAAAATCTGTACTAGGGCAAAAATGTTGCTTTGTCTTGTATCGTACGCAGAAATTCCACAGTGTTTTTTTAACCCTTCAAAATTTTTTTTGACTGATAGTGAGATGTGAAAGTGAGATCAATTATTGATTTATCTCAGTGCTACATACAGCACTTCAACAGAATCATGCGAATATTCTAAAAAGAGAGAAGTATTTTACCTCAGCGATTCTATCGACTGCTCCGAGCAATATGGCTAGTTCTGCGATGAAAGTAGTCAATAATAGCCTGCAAGGTGGATTTCCAAGTCACATTTTAGATTGCTAAAATAAAGAAACTACCCCATGAGCGGCTCATTGTTAGAAGTGACTTTTGCAAAAGGTGATAGAATTGGGATTACGTCATCTTTAGCAATAGATTGAAGTAGACGTGGGGCACCTCAATATGTGCTTGGATTTCAAAAACATTCAAACAAAGTTTAAACTGAACGTCTTACTGCACAAGCACTGAAGAGCAGCACCAAATGTGCTGAGAAATGAGCCAACTGTTACAACCCAAGGTGAAGGCCATGCAAGTGTAGAGACAACCATGCTGTTATCGATAGATCGACCAAACCTATAATTAATATATTTTATTCCTAATTAGGTTGAAACTCATTAAACTCACTTATCTCTGAGCACGGATCTGTCCACACTGGCAGCAAATAGTATAGCCAGAGCATAGTAAATGATAGAAGTTGAAACCGTGGCAGCTATGGTTCCGCTTGGAATCGAACGTTGAGGATCACGTAAGTCACCTGAAAATTACTCCTATGCCATAAAATTCATTTTAGTCGCGTTTGCCAGGAACAAGACCTTTGCTGTTTTTGAAGCTACTGTTTATTGAGTTCCTGTTCAAAGTGATAAAGGCTTTTTAAAAGCAAGGTGTTTGTCAAAATTTATCCCCAGGTTCGTATTCATCCATCCTCTTTATTATTGTTGGGTTTTTGTTATTCAATACATCAACTCGTAAACACCTGGAGGGCTAATGCTTCACAATACAAATTTTCAACCCTTGGAGAGTTCAAAATCAGTACCGATTGTGAGATACACAGACCACTCACATTTGCCCTGTAGCAAATGGGGAACAGCCTCTCCAGGGTTGAAACTTTGTATTGTGAAAGCATTAGCCCTCAGGTGTTTACGAGTTGATGTATTGAATAACAAAAACCCCAACAATAATAAAGAGGATGGAGAATACGAACCAGGGGAAATTTTGAGATGTAAAATCGCTTTGAAAGTACAGAACAACAATCAATTTGTTCCGGCTCCCCTTCCCCTTCAATCAGACGCATATCCCACCCCCCCCCCCCCCCCTTTCCCGAGGGTCGCCAAATGTTTGAACTTGCTTAGCTGTCTGAAAAAATGTGCATAATGTATAACTCGTTTCTGCTTGTAAATAATCAAATCAATTCTTACAATTTTTCAAAAATTCATATTAGACTCGGAAAATCTTTTCGGGAGCGTATAAATTTCCTGAAATTTGAGAATTATGGAATATTATGAGAAGCATCCCAAAAAATTTTTTGAATTGCATGGCTTACGCTACGCACCTTGATTCGAAAAAAACTTCTGTTCCCCATTCCACTCCAGAACGTCGTCAAAGCCGAATTCCCTTCTATAGGAACGTAAATTCCTATTGCTTGTTTTTACCAATGGCGAACTACACCCAGGTAATCAACACGAGAACATTCAGAAATGGAGAAATCTGCGTTGATACCACGACAGTGCTCTGACGTCATCACAGTTGAATATTCAATGAATGGCTACATACCGCTCATATTTGTCCCAGTCATAATTCCTGTCACTGCTGGGAAGTAGATGGCTAACAAGAGGAAGAATGTGGAGGTCACATCTTGCACGACTTCTGCATCAGACTTTCCTCGCATTCCTGGCAGTACCTCATCTCGTGCCATATATCCAGGGTCAAGATTGTCTAAGAAATGGATATTTGTATTTTTTAACGTGATTAGGGGAAGAAAATCTAGGTCTTGCACGCAGAGACAAGACGCCATTGCGGACTTTGTCGACATGTCTCAGACAAATGCACATTGATCTTTTTAACCGTCTGCGTCTCGCTCTAACACATGCTCTCAATCGGAACGGCGTTTAGACTCTGCGTGCAATGATTGCCTATACCTTTGAGGGTAGCAGAGTTGATTCCAGGAAATCCCTGTGTGCAAGCGATTTTCACCTTTGTATAATCGGAACAAAATTCCCCGGAGTCACAGAATAAATGGGTAAGCCTAAATTGGAATATTGATTGCGCTGCTCCAATAATAAGAAATGCAATTGGCAAAAAAACTTGCCCAGGACTTTTATCGCAAACATCACAAATTGTAGGATTGGTAATGTTCGTATGCGATGAATTGTGATTTTTATACAGTACTGCAGATTGTATTAAACGATCATCCAGCGAACAGACCCTATAGAGAAGCGATTTTTGATTTTTGAACAAAAATTGGACACATGATCAACTGACATTTGCCCGGATCCGGTTATAGCCTTTTCGATACCTCCAGCAAAACAGGCAAGAATAGCCAGAATAACACAGAGTAAAGATACCTAAACTTGGAATTTTTTTTCAAAATCAGGTTTGAGGGCCCTACTTTGGACCTTCAAATATTAACAAGCATATTTATTGAATGTCAAATCTTATTGGAAAGGAAGTAGGATTTTGCTCACCGGTGCCAGCAGTTGCACAAACTTCACTCCCATAGCCACTATAAGCACTTGCACGAGTAAAAATGCAGTACCATAGATACGGTAGTTATTGTAAAGAGGCCCAAGTGCTGAAAGAGTATTTTTAAGCTTAAAGTCGACCTGCGAAATATCTACAGAATGGCTTACGATCTGTGTCATGCAATGCTTCGCGACCACCTATAGCCATGTCAGGTACGATGTACATCTGGAAATATGTATAGCTTGGTAGATTGAACCTTTGAAGTAGTGCTGTTGCGGTGGCAACAACATTTGCGCGTAAAAACATGACAATATGCACCCTATGGCCATTTTTCACGCGCAAATTGCAAGCAAATCGCCTGCATAGTTCGTTCTCGCGCAAATGTTGTCGTCACCGCAGGGGCACAATATCGTCGGCTACGAAGACTGTAAACTGGGAATTTTCAAAATATTTTGTGAGTAACTAGTAAAGCGACGTACCAGTAAGACTTCTACACCACCAACGATGTACATGGATGCAGCTACAGTGTTTGCCAGATAGAACAGTATGCCAACAGCTGAGCCAAACTCAGCTCCCAAGTTGCGACTTAAAAAAATGATCAAGGGACATTGAGGAGAGGCTTTGCTTGATTTGGATCTATAGCTGAACTAAAAGAGAGGTTTAGGTCACAGTTTGGAATTCAAAAATTGTTGCCCCTTATTGAAAAGAAAACGAGTAAGAGCTGTTTTGTGCATTACTTTTAAGCGTCAGTGTATAGCGATTTTGGATTCGAGTTGCTCAAAGCTTCCTTCATTCCTACTAATTTTTTATTTTCCTGCCTGTATGATTTCATTCTTGCAGATTTATGCACATCTGCTGAAAGTATTGCTGACCTGATGATGAAGTAAGCTCCACCACTTTCGACAACTCCATTGGTGGCTACCGCTGACAAGGAGATAGAAGTGAGTAGTGTCTGACATTTTCTTTTTATGGGATGGGATGGTGATTAGGAATTGTAAATGCTGTTTGAACTCACACATGAACAACATATAGCAAGTAGCACTAGTGTCCACCATAGTCCGGCCATGCCTACTACCCAGAATAGTCGAATGAACATGGTAACGCCAAGAATATGTTGAATTGTGGGTAAGTAGACACCAAGAAGGACTCCGAGATTGGCCTAAAGTGCGGTAATCAAGAATTGGCTAACATTCGGCGAAAGCTAGAGTTTCCTAATATTTCACAAGTGCACAAACAAAGCTTCTCCTCACTTTGCTCTGATTTCAGAATTGGTAAAAATCGAAAAATTGGTCTCGAATTTGAAAATCACTATGAGAGTATAATAATCTCTAAAAAAGTGGCTCAAACATGGCTCAAAATTTCTTTCACACTAACCTTCTTATGATCGCTTTTGGCTCTTTCCTTTGGACCGGGTGTCGTATACCCAGAAATAAAGGAAGCCTGTTGTCCCTCATCCTCAGGCCCTTTGTACAGTGCCAAATGTCCAAACGTAGCTGTGAACTTCCGCGTTCCCTTGTATTCTTCTGGTGGCTCTTCTCCTATAGTATCAAGAGGAGCGGCAGGTTTTGTACCAGCTGTAAGTTAGGCTCACGTTAAATTTTGCGAAGGCACTGTCCACCCAAATCTGAGGTTTAAGATTTTAACGCACTGTAGTTGCGAGACTTTCAACTAAAACTGCCCAACGCCCCCTGCAAAACTGTATTCCAAAGCGAGAAAATCGCTTCAGAGGGTGGATGCTGCTAGGGTCGCCACGCCCATCAACGTGGGTGGTCTGAAGTAATGAGCAAGAGTGGACTGCAGAATATTTAGATGTTGCCGATGAGTTTTTCATGAAGGCCGAATCACAATACTACTAGGAGCAACATAGTCTACAGCTCATCACCTCTGGACCACCCACGTTGAGGGGCGTGGCGACCTCAGCAGCATTCACCTTTCGAGAACGTTTTTCCCCCTTCGAAATACCAGTTTCATAGAGGAACTTGGGCATCTACTAAGAAACTCTGCCACTGCATTGCATCAAAATCTCGCCAGTCTCAAATTTGGGTGAATAGTGCCTCCAAAGCATTTTTTCTAGAAGGTAATGTCATAAATAGTGATTTCTTCTATCCTAAAGAGTTGGCAATGGAATTATCCCAACAAACTGGTTTGCCCATTGTTTTCAATTACTTTTTCGTTTGCAAAGGTCTGGGCATTGGTGGGAGAAAGGTAGGGACAGGCTATTGATCATAGATTAGAGCTCAAACAACGAAAAAAAAATAATTCTGATGTGAAAACTTAAAGCTACCCGGAAATCTAAATTACTTGCATCTTCTTGAACTTCAAAACTTACTGCTAGTCCCCTTGTATACAAAAATAGCTCTAATTTCTGGTTACAAAAGCTAAACATCCTTATGATTGCTTCGATTTCAAGAAAAAAAAACCTTACCTGCATTCTCTACGGTCTCTAGAGTTTCTGGATTCAACTGTGTGACCGTACTAAATCTCCTTCTAAAAGCAATAGATGATTTGAGGCTGTGTAAAGGTAGAATTGAAGCAAAAATAAGGGCTAGCTGTTAGCGGTTGCCAGAATTTGAGATTTCATTAAAATAAAGGTGCAAGAAAAACTTGAACTTATTGACAATGCAAAATTGAAACTTACGTCCTGTTCTCCATGAAGTGTTTTTTGAGGCTCTGAAAGAAAGTAATTGATAATCAATAATCAAAAATTCCCCTTCCAAATCAATTATGCAATCGTGCAGAAAATAAGACAAAAAGTAAAGGATCTGGTGCGAGTGATAGGATTTTCCCACGAAAGCTAGGAAATAAGCAATTATAAATTCTAAATAATTTGGAAGAGTTCAATTCTTTGCTAAAAAATGACGTCTTTTCAAACTGTTATGTAAATGCGAGATTTGCCTGGGAAAATATTAAAGAGAGATTGAACGCAAATATGGATCAATTTGAATACTACTTTGCATCAAAGGTATATAAGATAGCTTTCGAAATTTTTTGAGGTCACTAAAAAAATTCGACTTTGTTCTAATGTCTAGAGCTTTTGGAAAAAATTCTGAAATCCGAAGCAATTAATACCCAGAATTTTTTTGTTTTCTTTTAGAGTCAGTCAAAAATACGACCAGTTCACTTTTCATACTTATCTTTGCTGATTAATTCAGCACATTTTTTCACCCTTCACCCTTCTCCCCCCCCCCCCCTTTTCTCAATAATTTATTCAGTTATAAATAGAAGATTGCCACTGCAACCTCGAATTGGTGGCTAGATCTGCCAAATCTATCACCGCGACGATTATTTCCGCAATCGGCTACAAAAAGTGTAGTAATGCGTCCACAACAATAATATCGATATTTGCGAGATTACCCTGGTTTTTTTTGATGGTTGGCTTGGGTTTCTATGTCAGTACTGTAGGATGCTGAGGATGGGAGATAAGGAGTTTTCCTGTTGCCGGACTTTGGAACTGCAAAACGAAATTGCAAAAACTTTGAACGTAGCAAAATTCTGTAATACTGAGGCTTATGTTGGATGTTCCTTGTTGAAAGCATTGCATTGTAGGTCAAAAAAATTTTGAGCTCCATATAGCAAGTTCACGCAAGGTAATCGATAGAAACTTAAAAAATTGGCTCAAGATATTATTTTAACATTCTCTCAGACAACTGACCGTAACTTTCCGCAGAACGTTTGAGAAAGTTCGGCCGAGTCACCTGCGGAAGTTCCGTAAACGTGCTGCGGAAGTTCCCAAATGAGGTGCTGCGGAAGTGCCGAAGAATGCGAACCACAACAGCAAAAGAGAAGACTTAAGCGAGATTTGAACCTTACTCTATTGTCTGTGAGGGCCTCGCTTTGTAAAAGTTCTGCAGAAGTTCCTGTTTTCAACCAATTTGACGTGAAAATCCTGCGAAAGTTCTTATTTTCAATGTTTCTACTCTTGCAATAGAAAACAAAATTCTGCGGGACCGCTGCAAATTTTGTTTGTTTTGCGGAAGTTCCGGTGAATTGTCTGAGGCCGCTAAAGACAATTTAAGGAATTTTAAAATCGAATAGCGGTTTTCTCTAGATTCCGATGCTCTATAGCTGTCAGAAATTGAGTTGCATTTTTTGCGAGGAAGTAGATCAAAGCTTTCACTGCAACATGTAAACTACCCAGAATTTTCTATCATCAGTAAAAAACAGTAATGTCCCAGCATGGCTAGATTTCCAAAAACTCAGTTCCTTGATTTTCTAACGCTTTCAGTCTATGATGGATAAAGGGATGAGTAATTTGATGACGCACAAGTTTTCTCGATTTAGCGAAAGACAAGGATTGTGATGTGCCAATTTTGAATTTTTTGGTAAAAAAGCGAAATTTTCTCGCATTTGCGCACAATGACAAATTTGAGATATCTCACTTCTTTGCGAACTTCCTTCACTGGAAAGTCAATTCTGCGAACAAAATTACAATCCAAATGACATTGGTGAGTTTCCCAGAGATGCCAAGCACTAAATGAAAACTTGCCTGCAGCCTTTGTCGAATCCGCAAAAACAACTGAAATTATCTCTTTGCCAACCTAATATATCAGAAAGTAGAGAGCTTCTAGAATGTTTTCTTAACAATTCGATCCTACAAATAAAGAAGAATTTTGAGCTACTTGTTTCCCATCTTCGGGAATATTGATCAAGGAAGATTGCATTTGATAGGGTTTCTATTCGTAACTGTCTTTATATTTTTGACATAAAAATTTTATATCGCAAAAATACAATTTTTTACTTCCATTCGGCACCTTTTTTCGATGCTGGCTATTATTCTGAAGAAGTTTTGCTTAGAATCGTGCCTACTTACCTCTAACATATTTTGAATGCTAAACTTTTGTATCAGCGAGGAATTGCGAGGACAGTTAGCGCGAATTGTGTGCGATAACTGGAAGTTTCCGCTCTACTGTTACGCCTGCCTGTGTTCGCAAAAATGGATAATCGGGATGCGGGCTGTGCACATGAACTCACGATGGGTTCATAGTACGATTAGGATGTGATGTCAAAATGAGGGCAATATATTATATCTGATAATAGGCTTTATGAGATTCGATTAGCCTTTCATAGGCAGCTGTTTTATGCGAAAAGCAGCAAAATATTGCAGTCCAGAAAGCTACAAAGCAATTGCTCGTAAGTAATAATAAAAATAGTGAGAAATTGTCATTGATGTATAATCATAAAACTCCGTTTCGTTTTTGCCTTCAAACGGAGTGAAAGAATTGCAGACCTCTTTCAGAACTCCTCAGTTGAAAGGAAGGTCAATAAAACTATTTCTTGTGTACTTGATGGAAGAATACTTGATCGAGGAATCAGCGTTCTATGCTCTATAAGATCATATACATTTCATATTTCAACACCATTTCGACTAAGTAGCCTTCCCTTGTTAGAAACAGATTTATTTTGGAATAGATGTGTGGCTAAATCGTTGGATACGTTAGAGAAGCACAACTTCTTGGGAAAGTGAATTCAAAAAGCGTGTTCGACTCCGCAATTTATAAGCAGTGGCATACTAGGTTGAATAAAGTGATGGGAACATTAGTGGAGCTCAAAGGCAGCGTCTACCCAAAATTTTGTCTCCCGTTTTTTTGCCATTCCGGGGCCTTTCTGTGGCCCTGATTATAATTATGGAGTTTATTTACTCCAAAAAACACGATTTCTGGAGACCCGTCTTAAGGGAGCGAACGGCTTTCGGTACAAGAGTGGGGGGAGTCTGATAGGATCTGGGCGGGGTCTGATAGCATTTTGGCTGTTCCAAACCCCTTATCTCCATTCAAGGACAACATTAGAGGACCGGACCAACGCAGGTGCCCCTCTGGGGGCCTACATTCAGGATCGACCCTAGTCGTAGGGGGCTAGATTTAGCCTGGACACTGCCTTTAAGCAGAGCAAAGGTTTTAAAATACTGTTATTCCTCTTACAGTATCACTATTTTCTGAAATCTTTTCACTTGATAATAAGAGCTCAGCACGAGCTGGCGCCAGGATAATCTAAAAAAGAAGTCCTCTTTGATTTTGGAAATTTCGTACTCCCCTTTGACCCTAAACCCTAAACAAAAACCCTAAAAAACGAAATGTCGACTAATAAAGTCGCAATTTTTGTGTTTTTTGGCCACAAAAAAGATATCCCCTTTGCTTTTTGTCCCAAAAACCATATCCAGCTTGATCCGGTGCCAGCTGCGCCGAGCTCTGTCACTTACTCACTTGTTCAATACTGACCGACGAGCAACTTAGCAATAGTTGAAATCAGTTTTCTTCCTTTAGTAACTATGTTCCTTCTGTGATCTATGACATCTCTCCATTGTTACCATTATAATATTTTCTTACAGAAGCGCTCAAATTTCCTTGGCTTTCTAAATCTTTTACCCTAACATTCTAGAAAGCGCTGGTAGATAAAACGTAAAACAAAGCCTTTGCTACGTTCGGTCTTAGGTTCCAAAACGATTTTTTTTCAAAATTGTGAGACTTCCGAAGAAAAATCTCAGCTCTTCAAAATATGTGGGGGTGCTGAAAACATTGAGTTCATTAATAAAAGCTCTTTAACAGCTCCCCTAATCGAAGTTCCATTAACCTAAAAGTAGCAGCGCATAGTCTAAAATTTTGCTTTGTTTGTCCAAAACCTATTCCTTTCCGGGAAGTCTTTTTCAGGAAATTAATGGTATTCGAAATACTGCAGAGGGTACATAGTAGAAATAAAGAGTGAAAGATTTTGGCATGTTAGGTTGGAACAAAATAATGTCCTTTTTGCGAATTTCCACTTTGACGACTTTACCGATCAAAATTTTTTGGAATGCAGTAAAAACCTTCGGAAAACATTTCGCAGCTTAACTCAGACTTCCTTATACTAATGTATACCAACGGAGAGGAAAACCGTGCCTAGGAAACGAAACTTTTCTCAAGGATTTCGTTTTCAAAAACTAAATAATTAGAGAAACCTGTGTGGGTTACAGAATCTGCTTGAGAGTTAAGACCAATGCATGAACGGTATTCATAAAAAGTATGAAAGATCAACTTTCCAGGAAGAAACGAATACTTTGCTTACTTCTGTCGTTTTCATAAAGAAAGTCAAAAATTGATTGAATTAACAGAAGTTAATTAAATTTCTAACACACTCCCACTTCTTGGCTGTCTCTCATTTTGTCTGCTGCGAGAAAGTCATTGCGAGGAAATGAACTTTCGGCCAACTGCGAAAGAATTTAAGCTAGGTTTTAGTAAGTAGTCAATGCAGATTTAAAACCTTTCAATCCGCATGGATCTCTACTATCAGTAAAATCTACGGTAATATCTTGGAATTGTATATCATTGAACTTCAAAATTCTGATAAATCAGCAACAATCCGCGATATTAGGAACAGTTGTTTCGAAGAACAGTAAAAACGAATAATTGAAGCCTAGAGCTAGTAATCGAGAACTTGCGGCCATTCCAATTAGAGCAATAGCTTTATATTTGATGCTCAAGTTTCCCAAGTTCTTAGTAAGTAATGAAAAAATTGACAAAATTTTTGACAACGCCGTTTAACGAGTAATGGAAGAATTCTCTGTGAAGAACTTTTCGATTGATCCCGAAACTACGCAAACTCACTACCGTTTCAGAACAAATTATAAATTCTACACTGGTTTCCGAATTCATCAAATTCTTTGTGAAAACTCTGATTCA